CCAGAATGCTCCTTGGAAGCAAGAATGGCCAGACTTGGTCTCACCTATTTTGGTCATGTTGTAAGAAGGGACCATTCCCTGGAGAAGGATGTCATGCTTGGTAGGGTGGAGGGTTGACGAAAAAGGGGGAGGCCTTCAACGAGATGGATTGACATGGTGGCTGCGATGATGGGCTCAAGTATAGCAGGGATTGTGGGGCTGGCGCGGGATCAGGCAGTGTTTCGTTCTGCTGTGCATGGGGTCGTTGTGAGTCGGAAACGACTGGATGGCACTTAACAACATACTCCATACTCAAGTCTGTTTATCTTTGCTGTTATCTCTAGTGCTTAGAACAGGGCCTAGTACACAATAGGTATTGAGTTAATTAAGACTCTGAGGGCCTCTCCTCTCCTCTCACAAAAAAATATTCCACTTACTGACACCCTACATCGCTGTGCCATTCTCTACCTCGCTCTGGGTCGGGGGAGACTGACTTATGGGTGACATCTACAGGTGACTTTGCTTTCTAGCTTTGGGTTGTGTGGGGCCTATGGAGACCACTGGTATGAGTCTGGAGAGTAAGGCCAGAATATAAATCCACTTGGCTCACTCCCTGTGGCCACCTCAGGTTGGCTGCATACCTCAACTGAAGCCACAATTTCAAGTGGGTTTTTTTATGCTGTCATTCCTAGGTTTTGGTAACCAACTGCTCGCTCCCCAGATCCTTCAGGGGGTAGGGTGGCAACAGTTCAGGGTACATAATCCTTTGTGGTTTGCTTGCATCCTGCCCTTGTTGTTGTTGTTATGTGCTGTCGAGTCAGACCTGACTCATAGCGACCCCTCCTTGGGTTTCCGAGGCAGTATCACTACGGAAGTAGATTGCCCCATCTTCCTTCCGAGGAGTGGCTGGTGGGTTTGAACCGCCAGCCTTCTGGTTAGCAGTCAAGTGCCTTAGCCACTATGTTACCAGAGCTCATCCTGCCCTTACCTATGTAAATAATGCTTTTATCAAACCCCAGTAGAATTATGCTAATACATGTGCTCCATCTGTTTCCTGCTGAGATTCTGATAGAAACCTTATTGTGAATAATGATTTTAATAACTATGAATTCCATTAGAGCTTTGCTACTCCAGTATGGCTGGAGGCCAGTGGCATCACCTGGGAGCCTGTCAGAAATGCAGACTCTCAGGCCCCATTCCAGACCTTCCATTCAGAATCAACACTTCCAAGAGATAGCTTGTTCATCTGATCTTATATTAACAACCCCTCTGCACATCAAAGTTTGAGCAGCACTGCATTTGAGTATTCTGAGTTTTAATGAAGCTCTTTTGGGTACAAAGAACCAAAGACTCATTCGGGCAATAGGGTCTGACACCTCAGGCAATGAAGGAGACACCTCCAACAGAAGTGTAAGAATAAGACCATGAGAATGTATGCCTTATGGAGACAGGGAGTAGGAGGTCAGGGTGGATCTGAGACCTCACCAACAGGTGTCTGCAGGTCTTCCCTTTGGCCAGCAGACTCACCACTCTGTGTGTACTAGCTTCTCTTCAGATGGCCTGTAGGATCCCTGTACCATCACTCTTCATGTTTTTGCCGGTGTTTCTGTTCATTTATAACTCTGCCTCACTCCTATTTGAGCTCATTTATGATGTGCTCCCCAGTGTATCTCATAATTTCTCCATTTTTCGCTCACTGCCTACATTTTAGTCTCTGAGAATAAGAATGTTACTCACCCAATTTGTCCCCGTTTAGACCAGAGCTTTTTGTACCCCTCTCTCTCACAAGGTAGGGGATAGCCTTTGGTTAGCTGCCATTTCCTGACTCAACAGGCATAGGTGACTTGGTATATAACATGTCTGCCCTGGGCTGCTCCATCAGCAGAGCAGCTGTGGAAGAAAATCATTCTATGATTACATGTCTAGTTAAAATGGTCTTAAGAAATATGAAACAAGCTCTTCCTTCTTACCTATACTTCACCTCCCACCCCTCCTCCACCCTCCTCCCAATACTTCCCGAGAACATCTGTATCCTCTGGCAGCCTCTGACAGTCATGGAGATGACTTTTCATATTCAGGGTATTTCAAATGTTGTGTGACAAAATTAATTACATTTAATTAAACTTCTCTATTTTGTATAGTCCCAAACAAATCTAAAATGTCATGTTAAGCTTATGAGATGGCATTCCTCCAAAGGGTTCTGCTGCCGGTGAATCTGCTATCAGACTTAAGCACTTCCAGGGATCATTTTATATGAGTGAGTCTGATGAATGGCCTCTCTGCCTGGGTTAAGCATCAAGCAAGAATTAGTCTCTGCGTCCAAGGCCAAACAATTTCCTGTGTCTTCCCTGCATTCCTGCCACAGCTCCCTCACCCAAGCACTAATCTTTCTCTTTCTGTCTGCTCTTTTCATGGGGCACTAAATTATGGATTTACTTCTCTCTTCCCCCCACTATATGACAGTTCCCCCTTGCATTCCTGTTGAGTACAGGGCCCGGTATGTGGTAGTCACTGAACTTATTAACAGTTGAAGAAATGAATGCTCTTGTTCACCAGTTATATGCTTCTCTCACCTTGTGTAATCATCAGGTTTTACTGTGTTAATACTGTCAAATAAACTTGGTGGATTAAAGCCTACAGTTATTTCCTGATCACAGATTTGAGAGTTGGCGGCTGTGGTGCCTGCAGGTCTGCTTCTTCTGTCTTCTCATTTTGGGCTCAGGCAGGAGTGTCTTCTCTCTAGTCCCTGCTGGCCTCATGGTGAAAGACAGACTGCAAGAGGGCCGAAGGAACCGTCAATGCATTTTATGATCTCAGCTGACAATCCAAACACGATTACTACCACTACATTCCATTGGCTAAATCAAGTCACCAGGCTAAGCCCAACAAAAGTGGGTGCTTCTGCTAAGCCCAAGGGGAGGAGGGGGTAGAAGTGTGTATTTGTCAAATAGTAATATAATCTGTCAGGCATTGCTAATTGAGTTTTCCATCAACACTGTTCTTTTCTGATGTTTCAAGTAGTTTTCAGAATCGACAACCTAGAATTCTCTAAAATGTGTACGTTAGCAGGATCCCTTCAGTTCCAGAGACAGAATACAACCAAACTAGTTTAGTAAAAGAGGAAATTTATTGACTCACGACAGAGCTGGGAAGCCCAGGGCACAGCAGCTTGCCTGGCATCATCAGGGCTTGCTCTCTCCATCTCTTCCCTGTGTCACCTTCAGGTGTTGGTCTTATCCTCCACAACCTCTCAGAGACAGCTTCAGAGTCTTTAGTAAAGTCCCCACATGTAAGAAACTTCTATCATCTGTATATCACTCTCAGAGTAGTCTAACTGTCCCTGCCACAGTATTAGACCCAGCCCTTGGCCACTCTGTGTCTAGGAGAATGGAGAATGGGCTACTACCCAGATCCAGGTCCTGTGCCCATCCTGGGTGTCAGAGATGTCTTACCACAAAAAAGTGGGAGGATGGGGACAAAAGAAACCTCAATGGGTAGCTGAAAAGAATAGCTAATTTAGTTTTCAATTCTTCAGTATATATTCAATATTTGAGTACATACTTATGGTGAACAAAAGGCCTTACAATATATCTATTCGATGTTCAGAAATAGAAGATACTCAGGTGCTTTTATTTGAGTTAGAGAAAACAAAATCTAAAACTGCCAAGAGTGAATCTACTGGTAAACCTTTAGTTTATGTACTCTTGCATCTTAGATCCTTTGAAAACATTCAATCAAGAGATTCTGCACCAGAAACCTTAGTTTAAAAACCTTCGAATTTCTTTTCATCTGTTTTTCTTTCTCCTGCCTTATATAGCCATTTCATCACTCTGCAGCCTTCCTAACATAGGTAATGAAGCAATGTGCTACATTAGCTCTTCAAAAATTTTGTCAGTTTATTACTGTCCATTTAATTCAGTAAGCATTTGTTGAGGATCCATTATAGGGCAGGTGCTGTGTTTCACTCTGGGGATACACAAAATAGGTAAAGCACAGTCCCTCTGCTCTCAAGAAACTTGCCATATAACAAGGGTAACAGACTTATAAACAAATGTCTGCCACACTACACGACAAGCACTGTAAGAGAAGAAAATAGGTGGGAGGGACACATTTGGATCTCTGTGTTAAGATAATTCTGATAGCAGTGGGCAAGCTGGGCTAGAGAAATGTGAGACTGGAAAGCAGAATGATCAGTAGAGATTCCTGCAGGAATTTGAGCAGCTCATGATGGGAGTATGAACCCTCTGTCTAAAAGTAAAACTGTGAGGATGGAGAGGAAACAATGAAGAAGAGTCGTTCTAGAAAAGGAATCAGTATCAATAAAGTATTAGGAAAGGGAAACACTAAGGAAACTTTCAGTTTCTGATGGAAGGATGAATGTTGCTACCGCTAATAATGATGCTAACTACAGGAGGAGAAGAAACTTTGGGAGCCAAATATAGACTTAGGCTGAGCTGGAAGTGTTTGTGGGATACCTAGGCATAATGCTGTCAATCACTTTCCTAGGATTCAGGATTGATTTGCACCTGTTACCAAAATTATTTTTGTTTGTACGTGAAATGGGAAGCAGGAAAGGGAGTGAATAGTGAAAGCATGACAAATTTATGATAAAATCACTGGTTTCATGCCAAGGCCAAGATTTCTTTATCATGTTCTTTTCCTTTGAAGAACTTAAGTTATTTGTAACAAAAAAAGAGACTCTATCTTGCTTTTGACTCTGTTTGACTCGTTATCAGAAGGCAGCTCTGGGTGAGGATCTATGTGTACCTGCTGGAAAAAAAAAAAAACACTTGCAGAAGACCTAGTGTGTTCTAAGTAACAGGCAAGATTTCAGATGACAAGGACTTCACATTCAGGACCTTACCCCTGCAAGTACACAAGTGTAAGTTAAATGAAATCTGGGAGGACTAATCTGACAATATGAAGAATACACTGATTCAGGCACTTTTTAAGCATTTTAACCTAAAAATCTTCTCCTGAGGGTGCTCTTCTATTACTGGATATAATGAAAACATTCATATTTTATTTTATAGGAAATATTTTTATTTTTTCTCATCTCAAATCAAAAATACTTATTCTTTCTCAGGGCTGGTCCATCATACTCTGTTTTTGGAGATATTAAATATATCAAAATTGTGAGTTTTGTTTAACAGTACATAAAAATTTTAGAATGGTAACTAAGACAGGAATTTCTAACAATGGAACAAGAGCTCCAGATCTTGACACTGAAACAAACGAAGCATTTCCAGTGACAAGAAGTAGGAAGCCATGGATAAAGTCTAACAGAGCACATGCTAGAAAATGTGATCAGGACATCGTATAATCATCCTAACTCTTGTGTGATGGGGCAAGTATGTCCTGTGAAAGTGGCTTACACAAATGATTGCTTCTGTCTGGAGAATGGGTCTTTTGGGTTTGGGACTCACGAAACTCAAGGGCCCCAAAGCCAATTGTTTCCAATATCTTGTGCACAATATCATGACCCATGGTTTCAAAGAGAAGACAAAAGAGAGAAATATTTAGCTTTGACTTTTGAGTAGATGTAATACCAGCTCTTCATCTTCTGCTAATGACAGGCCTGTATCCAAAGGCTCTAAGGTCTCCCACTTGGCCTTCTTTCTATTACGACTTGATGGTCCCATGCCTTCTACTTCACTGTTGTTTCTTTTCCGCATTCCTTGCTGCTTCTTGGTATCACTGGTGGGAACAAATCCAACGATTTATTTTTTAAGATAGATATTTAAATTCATCATCATGAAATCAAACAAGTAAGATGAAATAAACAATAATACACAGTTGGCAAAAAGTATTATTATTCAAAAGGGAAAGAAACCAGAACAACATGGTGTCACAAGTAAGTACTCTAACATCAGTGGATAAGGAGAAAATGCCTGCCACAGTGCAGGACTCAGTGCACTCACTGTGTCATTTGATCCTCACAGTAATTTGAGGAAGCTATGGATATATTATCCACAATTTAAGGATGCTGAGAGGTCCCACTCACATTACTCTCAAGAAGAATGAAGCTAATGTTCCCCACACCAATGGTTTCCATGAAAATTAAATGATGTGATCCGTATAAAGTCAGGAGCACAATGCTAGACCAACATCATTTAATTTCCATGGAAACCATTGGTGTGGAGAACATTTGCTTCATTCTACAATGAGGTTAAGAAAAGTAAAATAACTTGTCCCAGTTACACACCTGGGATTCAAACCTAGAGCTGAGTGACTCTAAACCCAGCCCCAAGGCCAGGTTGTTGAGAGTAATGTGAGTTGACTTATTTAAGTCAAATTCAGATGAGAGTGACTGAAATAATTAATTGGGTAAAGAGCATTAGCTACTGAGTAGACACACTGTCAGACCTTGGCCAGTCAACTAGCGTTTCTAAGTCTCAGCTTCCTTTTCTGTAAAGATGAGGATTACGTGACTTACTCAGCAGAACTGTTGTGACAATGAAGTGCAATTCAATAAATGAGAGCACACAGTGGTACTCAATACGTGTTAGTTTCCTTTCTGTCTATAAACCACTTTACTCCCCTTTCAAATAAATTCTTACACTGACTTCATGTAATAATCAACAAAAAATTTATTATCACATATATATTATATTACATTCCAAACACACGGTGTATTTCCCAAACAGAACAAACTGCTCATATTACAATGGACTCTATCACTCTTTAAGAAGATAGTCTAGATATCAAAGTGAATGTGCCTAATCAGCATATCTGTTTATGTCCAGTTTGAGGTAAAACTATACAATAATAATTCTCCATTTACCTCCCAATGCTCTGACTCAGCCATTCTCTCTCACCATTGGAGAAAGACATACTAAATAACCTCCTAGTTATTAAATAACCTAGGAGGTTATTTAAGCCCACAAATAACTGCATTTTAAAAGGATGGCTGGAGAGATGAACATGAAAGAGTTCTCTATGATGGGAATTTAGTCAGCAAAGGATTAAAATAATTTTCAGTGTAAAAGAGGCTTTAAAAAAAAAAAAAAAGGTATTGATCCTTAATCTGCTTATGAGTCTGACTAGCCCTGTGCCAATTCCATTGGGCTCTAGTGCAATGATTTATTTGGTACCATACTACTTTTGCCTTTGCCTGTATTTTAAATGTGACTCAGAATAGGTTATTAGAAACAGCCTCGTTAGCGGGCTATACCAATGCATCCTTTGTTAAGGTATTCCTGAATATTATGTTACCTGCAGATGATAAAAGATGGGAAATTAATGTAGCCCAAATATTTTCACAATTAACAGCTTTGTTGCTTTGTGGACCCATTCAAAGTCTAGAAAGACAATCTATACTAATTTACATAGCAAATATGTAGTAATTTGTACAGCAAATGGATTATTAAGCAAGGGTATCAGTATTCTATAGGTAATTCACCAAAAAAGGAGATAATGAAATGAACCTAGAAAGCAATTAGTAAGCAGAAAGCAAAATATGGCTACAATTTAATCTCTTCAGAAAATGCCTCTTTCAAATGATGTAGCACTGGAAACCTCTCTTTTTTAATACCCTGATTGGGACTTCTTTATGATCTATTACCAACCTAAGAGGGTGTACTATTGAGTTCTAACTAGTTTTATTTTCTGGAAGTGCCAGAAGGGGCTCTTGTCTCTTTCAATCAAATGTTCTATTTGGTGCCCCATAGCAACACATCATTGGTACAAATGATCAAATGACTGGCTGAACATTCTGAACGTAACAACAGGTCTGTTTGAGAATGAAAATGCATTATAGGTCAGAAGCAGGGTATGACACTTAAGCATTCTCTTTATGAAACAAGGGTCCTCCACTGGACCAAAGGCAGTAATATGGCTTACAATGACTGGCGAGTAGGTAGTGGGTCCACAAAACAAGGCAGAGGATCTGAGCTGGAGATCTGCATTTTATGTTTATGTCAATATTTCTGTGAGTGCTGAACTCTTTCCACATTGTTCAAATTTATGAGACAAATGTTCAAAAATGACCATAATGCTGCTCAATGTTAAGAGAACAGAACATATCGGTTAACAAAGCACATCTTAAAAGGGAAAAACATGGCTCACAGTACGAAAAGCTATAAAAACAACCAAAGCAAAAGAATTTAGAGCTATAAATCTTTCATTAGTTCAAGTAAAAAGAGACTTAATTAGTAATGTCTGGTGTGTCGTGGCGCTCGGCTAACTGAAAGGTCAGAGTTTCTAACTCACCAGCCTCTCTGTGAGAGAAAGATGATATGGTCTGCTTCATAAAGATACAGCTTTGGAAACCCTATCGGGCAGTTGTATAGGGTAGCTATGAGGTGGAATTGACTCAGTAGTGGTTTTTTTTGTTTGTTTGTTTTTGGTGTGTCATGTTAAGAACTAATGTATAACAACATATACAGAAAATATAATAATGTAATATGCAATCTAAACTGAAAATGACAGAGAAATTCTATTATCATTTTGATATTTTAGTGAAAATGGGCACACAAAGCCTATTATGATACCCTAAGTAAACATCTAAGCCAAATGATTATTCATTGCTAATCAAGACAAAAAAGAATGTGAACTTTAAATTTTAAAATCTTTAAAAAAAATCTTAATAACTGAATTTAAATGGAATATATCTTTCTTATTTCCTAAACTCCCTCACCTCAAACCTGAAAATTTTTCCAGAAATTGAGCTGATTTTTTGATAGGTTTGATTTCTTGGTTTCAACATTTTAATTTTTTAAGGTGTCCATCATTACTCATTTGCTAAGAATGTTAAGTTTCTGAGAAACATAAAAGAGAAAGAAGGAAACCTGGAGCTGACATGTCTCTCAGTCTTCCCTCCGTGTTCCTCTTCCCAGCTCTTGTCTCGCCAGTGGCTTCCCCATGAAATCAGGGGACATTTTTCGTGCTTTTTGGTATACCTGTGCCCCTCTGTGAAGGTGGCATCTCTTCCTGCAGGGTCCTCCCTAGCCTTACAACATTCATCTCAACTTCCTCAGAACCATTATAAGGAAATAATCTCTTTCCTCTGAATTCCCATGGCTCTAATTGTTTATTAATCATGCACCTAACAGTGCTACTTCCTGATGGTAGACTTTTTTTTTTTTTTAAAAAAAAAAAACCTTCTGTGTCTGGTGGTCAGATAAGTAAAGATTTT